CAGGTGACGATCTGTGCTGCCAGAAGTTGTAAAAATGGTAAACGACAGAAAAGATACTAAATCAGGCACTGCAAATGCCAAACAAAATAGTAGTCCACAATGTAGCTCGGACCGACGCAACTTGAAATTGCAAGGACGTAAATCGAATTTTCTGCTTTTTGAAAAGCGACGCAACTCGAAACGACGCAATTACAAATTTCCAAAACTGCCTACATATTCCAATTCTACACTCCGACAATAATATTATTTCCAATTTCAGGATACCAGCTCTTTTGGTTCACCCAAATCCAAATTTACCATATTTAGTCCATTTACATCACTTACATCATACAGACCAATAGAACACTTATTTTCAAACTCCCGAAATTTAAATTCAACCAAATTTAGTACCAGTTAGTACACATGATCATGAAATTAAGTAGCGTTTAGTACTATTCGTATACATACACTTCCAAAACTACCATCTTGAGATTAAAATATACAATTTTTATACCATCCACCATACTATAGAGAGTATATTAACTTTGTCATTCCGTTTGTAACTAATCAAAATACTCATGTCAGACCCAACAAAGTATATATATTCTTGATCAGCGTAAAATTCTAAGTCGAGTTAGCGATGTCTGTCTGTCTGTTGTAATCACGCTATCTTTCGAACGAATTGAGATAGAAGGCTAGAAATTTGCACACATGTTTATTTTTTCAGTAGGCAGGTTAAGTTCGTAAATGGGCCATGTAGGTCCACGTTTTCATATAGCCCCTATATAACGGTACCTCCCGATGTTCGGTATTTTTATGATTTTAGCGACATTATTTATCGGAATTGTTTCAAATTTGGTATTTGAAGTTCGTAGTGCATACTACAGCCTATGACAGAAAATTGTCTTTGCAGGTCCACGTCTTCGTATAGCCCCCCCTATAACAGTACCTCTCTATAATCGTAATGGGAACTGCAGTCAGTGACAGTAAATTGTCTATACAGGTCTAGGTCTTCGTATAGGCCCCGTACATCAGTACCACCCTATATTCGGTATTTTGACGATTTTAAGTACAATACCCACCGAAATTGTTTGAGTTGTCGTATTTGAAGTTCGTATTGGATGCTACAGCCTGTGACAGAGAATTGTCTATGCTGGTCCAGGTCTTCGCACAGCTCCGATATAACGGTGCCTCCCTATATACCATATTTTGATTATTTCAGCTTCTTCAAGTTTTGAATTTAAATATGGTAATGGCTCATGACAAAGAATGCCTATGTATGTCCACGTCGTATAGACCCTAAGACGACTATATTCGGTATTTTAAAAATTTTAACAGAATTTTTAAGGATTTTATTTTTTAAAAATTTCCAAATTTGTTCCAAATGGTGGATGGTTTTTAAAGTTCGGCCCGGCCAAACTTACTGCTTTTTAACTTGTTATATTTTCATTTCATTCCCTCTTTCCAAACTACGCCCATATTTCCACACATTGTGATTTATAACACGAGGTCATAACACATTGTGGCAGCCATGATTGGATTTTGCGTTTTGGGAATCATTTACTTTAATTCTTTGCTGAATTTAACATATTTGGCAATTGCATTATTACATTATTTGATTTTTATTTAACAAGTCGAAGAATTTGTTGACATAACAAATGTGAAATGGCTGCCACAACAGCAGCGGCAGCTTCAGCTGCTTCAGTTCAATGACAATTCAAGCAATTATCTCGTTACAATAAATAATGATGCACGTTTGTTGTCGGTCTGCTATAATGACATTTGATAAAGTATTGTTGTGATATATGCACTGGTTCGGTCATTCTTTATTGTTGAAATATTCGTAGTTTTTCGTGGAATTTAAAATGGACAATCAATGTCGAGGAGTGGACAATTAAAGTATGACTGCTACATACATATAAAACAATGAAATGACTGGCGAGAAGACTGAATAATGACTGAATTTTGAATTTAAAAAATACATTCACATTGTCCACATCACCTAAAAATACAAAATGAAGTAGTGTTCTTCTTTTTTAAGAAGAGAAAGAAATTAAATTATTAAGTTATGATTTGGTTTTGTGAACTATTAGCATTTTCTATGTCATATTTTCGGACAATGCATTTGGATCTAAGTTGTTAAAAGCGGAAAGTTTTTAAATCTATGTATATAAACATGGTGTAAAAAATATATAGTAACGCATCAATTGAGAACAATTGGTTTGATTTAGTTTAAATTCTCCATATGATCTTTGGGATTGCAGTGGGAGATTTTTACGAAAACCCTTTCAAAAAAGTCTCGAAATTGGAAAAGTTAAAGTAGTTTTCTTAATGACATTTTGTGTGGATTGCTCCAGAATGTCTAAATATCCGGTTCTCTTCTAATCTCGCACAACCCATTTTTTCAACAAAAACAAAAAGCTGTATATCGGCGCACTTCTTCTGGTATCTCCTGCACTAAGGGTTTTAAATAGAGAAAAAACAGAACGCTTATAAAACGCGAAATAAGCAACTCTCCTTAAAAAAAAAAAAAAAAAAAAAAAAAAAAAAATATATATATGTATATATATATATATATATATATATATATATATTTATATATATATATATATATATATATATATATATATATATATATATATATATATATATATATATATATATATATATATATATATATATATATATATATATATATATATATATATGCGGACAATAACCATAAAATCATATGAAGATAAAATTTGGCAGAGGTATTTTCGAGCTGTAGTTGATGTCCGGTATCAAATATCCTTGTTGTGGAGTGCATATTACGAATGTGAGGTACTTTAACTCCACATCGGATAAAAAATATATATGGAAGCTATAGCTATATCTGAACCGATTATCCCAAATTTGAAGTACTTGTTTCTAGGATAAATTTAGTCGGATGAGCCAAAATTCAGGTTATTATGACTGAAATTAACCATTTGGTGCACAACTAACCTGAAATCGGTTGAAGATATATATGTGGAGCTATATCAAAATTTGAACCGATCTTTAAAACGTTTTAGGAACTTATTTCCGACCTGTAACTGATATCTGGTACCATAGACCATAGTTGTGTAGTGCATAATACGCTTCGAGGCACAATTTCAAGTATGCGGTCTGTTGAATAATTTTGAATTTTGAACGGTTGTTAGATAATATTCACGATACGTCGGTGATTATTTCAGTACGTCTTATTATTTTAATGTGAAATGTTGTGAGCACTGTGACAGAAATTATTATTATAGCCTATATATTTTTTTATACCCTACATCACAAGGTGGTCAGGGTATTATGTCTTTGTGCATTTGTTTGTAACAGGCAAAAGGAAACGAGATAGACACATAGTTCCTTTTGATGATCTGCATAGAATCACTTTCTTAGTTGATTTATGCATGTCAGTCCGTCTGTCCGTCCATCCGTCGGTCTGTCCATGTATTCTTATGAACAAACTGCAGGTCGCATTTATTATCCGATTGAGATGAAATTTTCCAAACTACATTTGTTTATCCCAAGGACGAACCCTATTGAAATTGGAGATAATCGGTAAAAATTTAGATATAGCTCCCATATATATCTCCATCCGATTTGCCTCTTATTGTGCACCAAACGTGTAATATCAGCCTGAATAATATGGAATTTTGCACTTACAACCAAATTAGGTCTGAAAATAAGTATGCCAAATATGATCGAAATCGGTTCATATATAGCTATAGCTCCCATATATATTGTTCATCCAATTTTTTATTTTTGACCTCCGCAATAATTGGGGAAATATATCAAATGCAGCTTAGAAATACCTTTGCTAAATTTTATCGAGATCGGTTCAGATTTGGATATATCTTCATATATAACTTCGTCCGATTTACCTTTTATTGTGCACAAATAATATCTAATATTTGCCCAAATGGGATGGAATTTGGCACATACGACCGAATTGAGTCTAGAAGGTAGTATGCCAAATTTGGTGAAGATCGGTTCAAATATAGCTATAGCTCCCATATATACTGTTCATCCGATTTGTCATATTTGTTACCCACAGCCGTAATATGCACTCCGCAACAACGATATTCAGAGATATATATTAAATACAGCTCAGAAATACCTTTGCTAAATTTTATCGAGATCGGTTCAGATTTGGATATAGCTCCCAAATATAACTTCGTGCGATTTACATTTTATTGTGCACCAAACGTCTTATATTTTCCCAAATGGGATGGAATTTGGCACATACGGCCGAATTGAGTCTAGAAGGTAGTATGCCAAATTTGGTGAAGATCGGTTCAGATATAGCTCCCATATATATTGTTCAACCGATTTGTTGTATTTGCTACCCAAAGTCGTAATATGCACTCCGTAACAACGATATTCAGGGAAATATATCAAACACAGCTCAGAAATATCTTTGCCAAATTTTATCGAGATCGGTTCAGATTTGGATATAGCTCCCATATATATCTTTATCTGATTTCAAATTAATTTTGCACCAAATGGGCAATACAAGTCCGAATTTAAAAGATTCAAATGCTTCGGCATATTTAGTCCTTGAATTTTAAATTATAATTATAATCATAGGGTGTATGATTGAATTCTCCCATAAAAACTTTGATTTGTTATATGGAGCTCAACTAAATTAGCAAAGTGGTGGCAACTAAATTAGCAAAGTTGGCTCAGCCCGACTTTAAGACTTTCTTTACTGGTTTTGTTTTTTTTTTTTTGCAAAAGTCATGATTTGTGGTATTTTTAATGCGGGGAATTTATAGATTTCACCTCGAACCCGCAAAGAAAGTACTGGAAGAAAAGGAATCAAGAAACCTAACTTATAACAAATTGAGATTGTAAAACCGTACAATCACGTTTTGAATTTGTACATACATGGTAATCCTAAACAGTTTATCCGCCATTGCCCAGCTATTGGTTGCCTCAGAGCAGATTCAAGGACATACAACTTCTAAATAAAAACCCAAGTCCTAGGGAAATAAAAACACATTGCATTTTAATTTTTCATAAATATGGCATTTATTTTTTGTTCTCATATACTGTTGTTGTTGTTGTTCTGTTTATGTTTCTTTTTCACTAATGCTTCTTATCGTTAATCGATAATCACTTAAAAAAAGTCAGCTGCATTTGCTAAATGCCTGCAATTTAAGCAATTTATTTGCTAAACGCAAACAAATAGCATTAATAATTACAGCTTAAATAAACAACAATTCTATAAATTACGTTATGTTTGTTTATCAAATTCATGGTTTTTGTTTGTTGGTTTATTAAATTATAAGTAGTAATAATAATAAAAAAAAAAACTTAAATATAGGTTGTTTTTTTTTTTAATTTCAAACTATACGTTGGTATTTTAGATTCTAGTTTTTTATGATATATGATAATTTTGGGGAGAATTTGTTATTAATTTTATGTATGTATAAAATATTTTACAAAAGGTTTTGGAGCAATAAAAAATAAAAATTAATAATTAGTTTACAGGAAATGCTACAATACAAATTATTGTAAAATAAAGAACTGAAAAAATAAGGTGTGGTTTTTTTTTTGAGAGAGAGGGAGTTAAGTATATTTTATTTTTTTTTCTATTTTGTTATTGATTATTTTTTATGTTTATTGTTGCATTTTTTTGTCATATGTCATATATAATTTAATTATTTTTAAGATATTTTATTTTTCTTTTCTAAACTACTATTTACAAGGTTTGTTAGTTTTATATTTTATTGTTTGTTTAATGATAAAAATAAACCTATTAAGACATCACATTACTTAGATATATATTTGTGTTTCATTATTTATTTTTTTTAATTTAAGATATTCGTATTTCTTTAATTTGTAACTATTTTTTTGAGAGGTTGTGTTTTAAGTTTATTTTATTGTTGTATTATTATTTTTTTTTTGCATTACTTATATTAAGAACAAGAGAGTGTGTGCTTCTGTTTCAGGAACAATTAGTTGTATCTATAAATATTTTGTTTTAGTTAAATTACAAAAAACAAAAACATGGCAACTTTACTATTGTAGAAAATTGTTCTAAAAAATATTTGTGAAAAAAAATTAAATAAAAATATTAGAAAAAAGAGAACACATTAAATATAAGGCGAGTTGTTTGTTTCAAAGAATAGAAAAAAAGCATCGGTGGTATTTTTTATATGTGTGTTATTGATAATTTGGCAGTTGGAGCTTTGTTTTTTGTTAATTTTTTGCTTGGTTTTAAGGGAATATAATTAAAAAAAAATATTTTTTCATTTTTTTTATAAAAATATATGCATTTAGTCTTCCATGGAAGTATTTTGAGTTTGGTTTTAAGGTATTGAAGGAATATGCCTTATTTGGAAGAAAAAAAATAAATTGCCACAAATTGTATGAAGATTTCCAATAGCCCCCTAAGATTTTTTATTTCAATATTTCAATGTTGATTGTTAGGAAAATTCAAAAAGAAAAATATTTATTTTCATTTCCGGATAACATTTCATAATATGTCTCAGGGCCGAAAACTTTTTGGAAAGAAGAACAAATTTTACTTGAAAATTTTTAATATAAAAATAATTTTTGTCTCAGGTTCTATAGATTATAATTCTATACAAAAAAAAAAAAATATTAACAGTTTCTACGGTAATAATATAGACCGGTTCTGGGTATTTTTTCTATGGCAAAAATATTCATAGGGTTATTTTATCCAATAAAAAAATGTAACCAGAATTTGAAAAATTATAAATTTATCCTCAGGATTTTGAAAATTTGTTCCCTAGAAAAATTCATGAAGGAATCCAAGAATTTTTTCTAAAAAATCATTAGAGAATATTTATTCCCAGGGACTGCGAATTGTGTCTCTAGAAAAATTCACAAAACAATCCTCAGGTCCGTAGAATATGGGAATTGGGTCCCTAAAAAATTCATAAAGAAATCTAAAAATTTTTTCCTAAAAAAAATGTACCTCAGATCCGGAGGATACTATCCACAGAAGAACAAATAGTCATCGGAGATATTTTCTTAGAGAAAAAATTGACCTGAGATTCGGAGGATATTTTCTGAGAAGAAAAAATTGAAATTTTTTAAATTTATCGCCAGATTTTTGGAATTTGGTCCCTAAAAAAATTCATAGTAGACTCAGAAAATTTTTTCCAGAAAAAATTTACCTCACACACGTAAGAACAAATTGTCATCAGGTTCGGAATATTTATCTTTACAGGAAAAGTTATCGTCAGGATCTGGGGACAACTTTTTTTTAGGAAAAAGTTATAGTGTTATTTTTGAAGAAATAAAAAAATGAAACCGCATCACCTGAGGATTTCTTCAATGGAAAATAATTCTTCCTTAGGGTTTACGAATTTGGTGTCTATAGAAAAAGTCCTCAGAGTCCTCAAAGCATGAGGATTTCTTTTCTTGTTTTATAATCCCCAAAAAATGTTCTTCGTCTAAAAAGTGGTAACGCTCCGATTCTGAAACTACTTGTGATATGTACCGGCCCATTTTTTGCATTATTTCAAGTTTTGAACTTAAAAGGCTAAAACAAAATCTTTTAACAATTTTCTGGCAATTTACAATATATTACTAAAAATTACCAAGATCTTAAAGATATCTGGTCACTCATCTATTCAGGGATTCAAAGTCTAAACCAACAATTTTGTTGAAGTATCAACAACAATAATTGATCTATGAAATATCATAAAAAATACAAAAATAAAAAAAATGAGTTTGAATAACGTTTTGTTGGCCGAACTCACTGTGTGGCCAGGTAACATTAGGGTTTCCTGTCACCCACAAAATCTACCCAAATTCACTCAATTTTTTACCCAAAATATAAAAGGAAATTGGGAATTTGCAAGTTTTGGCTAAGTTAATATGACGTGTGCCCAGACATCTTTAGAAACCCGGTAAAAAAATAAATTTTTAAAATATTAAAAAAAAAACCAAAAAAAGTGTAACTCCAATTTTTTTAAATAAAAAAAATAATAATCAGTCTTTAAAATAAGAAAATTAAAAATTAAAATGCTCTTATGATTAGGTCCTTCCATAATCTGTCACGTCTTCTGCGTCACCATCATCATCTGTTCGTTTTCATTCAAAATTATCCAATGAACCCTTGTTGAAACGTTCACACCATTCCAATAACTCTTTCACTTCTCGAGCATAATAGTCTTCTTGATGTCTAGATGCTGCACCCGCACCACCACTAGCACTAGCACTGCCATTCAATGTCATTGGTTTGGAGTTAATGTTTGATGTTGCTGTTGCCCCAGCTGAAGGACCTAATAGTGGCAAAGTTGTAGTGGCCAAAGATGATGATGATGATGTCGTTGTTCTAATATTGTTTGTCGTTTGATCTTTGTGCTGTTGTCTTTCCAAAGGTCACACATTGTGCGCCTGACCACTACCGCTGCCCGATGCTGCACCACCACATGTGGAACTACCCGAATTGCTTAATAGACTACGTTCGCTGGCCATACTACTGCTGGGAGCATAAATCATTTCGGAATCACTACTTGGCTGTTGCTGATGTAAAGGATGCAAATGATGCATTTGTTGGCTGGCAGCATTTTGGGAGTCGCCAACGGTCATTTGGGCACCACGTTGATACTGGGAACCATTTGAACGTGTTGAGGAATTATGGGAACGCCAATTGTTGTATGGCCCATGATTGGCAGCGTCTCGTTCCTGACTTGCCGAGTGCAGGTGTTGTTGGTGCTGCTGCTGTTGTGTGGCGGGATGATGACTTGGTGTCAAAGATATTAGCTGTTGTTGTTGTTGCTGTTGCTTCTGTTGTTGTGGTGGATCATCTACCTTAACATACAAACGTTCCATATCGCTTTCATTATCCCCATCAGCTGTGTGATACAATGCCTGCTCTTCACCAGCTTCATCATCGTGTGACATTAGCATGGCCATGGGCGAGGGTGAGCCACCACAACCAGAATCAGCCATACCATTGTAGCAGAATGAGCCGGCATCCAAATCCATAAGATTTTTGGTTATCATATCCTGGGTATTGTAGTCAGGGTTGCCACCAACAATACAATTCTGATTGTTGTTCAGGGAATTCATTTTTATTTGTTGCTGCTTTTGGTGTTGAGTGGTGTCGGATAAATGCAGTTGATAGTTTTGTGGCTGGGTATTGATGACCTTGAATCTTTGGCTATGCTGTTGATTGGCGCTACGTCTTAGGGTACCCATATTGGAAAAGGCGACTGTGGTTTGTTGTGGCTGTTGGTGCTGTTGATTATTGGCCGTATCATAGGTATGGCAATTGCTTAGCTTGTTTTCGGTAATATGGATTTTCTCTTTGGGATAATAGTATTGGTCGGAATAGGCTGATCTATTGCTGGCCATTTGTGTGGGATATATTTCACTGGTTGTGGACATTTGTTGGTAGATATTGTTGGTGGTGGTGGGTTGTTGTTGCTGCTGCTGCTGTTGTTGATAGAGGGGATGCATGGGCCTTTGCTGGGAGCCGGTCATTTGTTGCTGTTGCATATTAAAAACTGGGCCTCCTGGTCGGGTTTGATAACGTGGTTGCTGCTGCTGTTGTTGCTGTTGCTGTACAATGGACGATGTGGCATATGGCGCTGGTGAAGAAGCATTTTTGCGTCCCACACTGTATTCACTGCCTGTTTTGCCAAAACTTGTTACCTCAGCATAATCAGTGGGTATATTGGAATACTCACCTACATATCTGCAATGTGAAAAACGGGAAAAAATATATATATGAAAATCGTAAAAACCATGAAATATTTATGTGAAGATATTTACAAAAAAATATTATTTTTTTGGGAAAATATATTTATTGGCAATTTGTGTGTGTGTGTTTTTTCTTTGGCTTTGCTGTGACAATTTATGACCGTTATGCTCGTTTATAAGCCGCTTATAGTTTTAGTTATTTGGGGCGAACAATTGTTGTGTGTGATTTTTTTTTTGTACTTTTGCCACAAAGAAGGGATTACTTTCTAAATAAAGGGGGGAGAGATGCTTTAGTTTGAGTTATTTCCATAAAAAAATTTAATTTGATTTTGTCTTAATTAAAGCTTTTATTATAATTGAGGATTATTCCAAAATTGAATTCTAAATAACGGTGAACAAAATAATCCTAATCTGATTAGAGGAGTTTTTTTTTTGGTTTTTTCGCAAAAGGGTTATGGTTGATTGGATGTGCGAAAACTGTGTTTAATGAAAAACAAGCCAAAAAGGACGTGTATGTAATTTAATTTTAAACGAAAGAGGAATACCAGGATAAAAATTTTAATATTTTACAACAAACCAAGTGAAAGAAGCAAATCGAAAATTTTGAAAATTTAATACAAATTCACAAAATTAAAGGGAAATAATTCTAATCTGATTAGCAAAGTCTTTTTCCAAAAGTGTTATGCTTGATAACACTGTACAACACAAAAAATAAGTTAAGTAAAATACAGCTCATTATGAAAGTAGAGCTAAAAATAAACAAGTAAGAAAGCTGTAAGTCCGACGGGACCGAACTTTTAATACCCAGACCATATGGAACGAATATGGTAACTAAAATAAAAAAATAAAATCAATTAAAAATTCCATAGGCTGTAGTATCCATTACGAAGTTTAAATGCTAAATTAGAAAAAATTCCGTCAATAATGTCGTTACATTTATCAAAATACTGAATATCGGAAGGTGCCGTTATATGGGAGCTATACGAAGGCGTTGACCTGCACAGACAATTTTCTGTCACAGGCTGTACTATATACCAACTTTGAAACATTTCCGGTGAATAATGTCACTGAAATCATCAAAATACCGAATATCGGAAGGTGCCGTTATATGGGAGCTATACGAAGGTGTTGACCTGCACAGACAATTTTCTGTCATAGGCTGCAGCATCCATTACGAAAATCACCAAAATACCGAAAAAAAAGAAGTACCATTGTATGAGGCTATACCAAAACGTGGACCTATATGGCCCATTTTCAATACAAAAAGTCCTGCAGACATAATATATATTTGAGAAAAATTTTATCAACCTACTTCGTTTCGTTCGGAAGCTAGAAGTGATTTCCACAGACGGATAGACGGACTGACATTGCTAAATCGACATAGAATTTTGTGCTGATCAAGAATATATATGCCTTGTGGGGTCTGAAATGTATATTTCGAGGTGTTACAAAGGGAATGACAAACCTTATATACCCTCCATACCATGGTGGAGGCTATAATAAATAATTTTCCCTAATTTTTGTTTTTGAAAAATTAAACATTTTTCTCAATATGATGCAAAAGCCAATTTGAGATCAAACCCCTTAAGGAGTTTCTGGTGCTTTGGTCAAACGTTTCCATGGGCTTTATATAGGTTTGAGTCTTTACAAACGGAAATTTGCAAATTAGATATTTTTAGTGATATTATTTTATAACACGGTGGGCGTATGATCACAATAAAAATAATCAATGCTCATACAAAATAATAGTATTTTTAAATGTCTTTAAATTTAAAATTAAATATTTTTAATATTTTATGTTAAGTTTTTCACAGCCTACCATAAACGCCATAGTTCACACTTCCATTCCATAAAGTGTATATTTTAATACAATTATTACACATCCCATTTTTTTTTTTGGTCATTCTCAAATAAGCTAGAAAAAACTCCCATTTTACAAATTTCCATTGTTGTATTTATGATATTTGTTACACTTTTAAATATTGTTATAACAATTTATTGTTGCCATTGTTGTTTTTCACATTGTTAGCATGAAATTTATGACTTAGGGGATTTAAAGTCCATTAGGTCTTCAATATACCAAAAAAAAAAAAAATCTATATATATATAAAATGTTACAAAACAATAGAGTTTTAAATAAACACAATTAAATGTGATTTCTTTTTTTTTTTTTTGTTTTTTGTCTTCCCTGGCATATGGAAAAAATTGTGCTGAAATCGTTTTAAATGACCAAAAAAAAAAAAATCCTACAACAAAATAACATTGATTTAATATTCAATAAGCTTTAAATGAAATTTATAACTGAATTTGTATTAATCAGTTAAATTGAAAGAGAGCAAAAAATAAATAATATTATTTTTTTTCATTGTTGTTGTGTTGTGTTGTTTAATAATCGTTCGTTTTTATGTGCAATTAAGTCCATCCAATATGTGCGCGGTGGTTTTTAATATAATTGTATATTCTCTATACAGGAAATCATTTAAAGCTGATGGTGCCGGCGTGAAAAACATTTTTTTTTTCGAACTTTTTCTCTTCCCTTTCTCCTGTCTATGGTATGTAGCCGGATATTATTTAAATATTTATGTTATTTTAATTAGTTATGAAGCCAGTATCAATGTATAAAAGGTATGTTTGTTGGGGTGTGTGTGCCAGGTATACAACAAATGTTTGTGGACAGGGATTTACTCATCCAGTGTCATTACAATAATCTTTGTGGAAAATAATTACTGAATTAAATGTAATATTTAGTAATTTAAAAACCAAAAAACGTTTAATGTCGGTTGGAGAAAGGGTGGAAATGCAGTAATGAAAAGTGATTCCGAATTTTAATTATTTTTCTAAAATTTAAAAATTATTTAAAACATATGAAATTGATAGGAGGCGTATGACAAATATTAATTAATAATTAATTAATTAAAAAATAAATAATTAATTAATAATAGCTGTTGCGTATAAGAAATTTGCCGGATGGCGATATATATTGAAGCTATATCCAAATCCAAACTTACTCTATAAAATTTCTCTCTCGATTCCTTCTCCATGTTACAAAATTGCACAAAGACATAATACCCTTACCACTATGTACGGTATGGTACAAAAATGTCTTCCAATTTTCCTCATTTTTAAATATATCTGCAATTTTCTATCCCTATTTACAACCTACTTTACATTCCCTCCCTCATTTGGTTATTTAATAACTTTTACACGTATTTCACTATTTACTTAAGTCAATAGGGAAAAATAGCACAAATTATACAGTAATTATTGCCATAAATGAATTGTACATAATAATAATCATAATTTCATTGCATTAATTAAAAACGTACATAATTATGATTGAAGTTTACCAGCAATAAATTCAATACATTTGCAAATAAAACGTTGCGCAAATAAAACTATGAAAATGTAAACCCGTAGACTAGATTTCGTTGTTGCAATAAAAATCCATTTTATGCCAATAAAAATAATACTAAAAATTGTAAATAAATTGAAAGTGAAAGGTTATTAGTGTATTAAGTGATGAAGTTTATGAAATGCAAATGATTGGAAAAATAAATAAAAATATTAAATTATAGATTGTGATGCATATTGAAATGGTTATAAAAAGAATCATACGCCGTGTGGGCCTTTAGATAATATTCATCATACGCAGTCGGGTCGGTAATAATAATAATAATAATAATAATAATAATAATAATAATAATAATAATAATAATAATAATAATAATAATAATAATAATAATATAATAATAATAATAATAATAATAATAATAATAATAATAATAATAATAATAATAATAATAATAATAATAATAATAATAATAATAATAATAATAATAATAATAATAATAATAATAATAATAATAATAATATAATAATAATAATAATAATAATAATAATAATAATAATAATAATAATAATAATAATAATAATAATAATAATAATAATAATAATATAATAATAATAATAATAATAATAATAATAATAATAATATAATAATAATAATAATAATAATAATAATAATAATAATAATAATAATAATAATAATAATAATAATAATAATAATAATAATAATAATAATAATAATAATAATAATAATAATAATAATAATAATAATAATAATAATAATAATAATAATAATAATAATAATAATAATAATAATAATAATATAATAATAATAATAATAATAATAATAATAATAATAATAATAATAATAATAATAATAATAATAATAATAATAATAATATAATAATAATAATAATAATAATAATAATAATAATAATAATAATAATAATAATAATAATAATAATATAATAATAATATAATAATAATAATAATAATAATAATAATAATAATAATAATAATAATAATAATAATAATAATAATAATAATAATAATAATAATAATAATAATAATAATAATAATAATATAATAATAATAATAATATAATAATAATAATAATAATAATAATAATAATAATAATAATAATAATAATAATAATAATAATAATAATAATAATAATAATAATAATAATAATAATAATAATAATAATAATAATAATAATAATAATAATAATAATAATAATAATAATAATAATAATAATAATAATAATAATAATAATAATAATAATAATAATAATAATAATAATAATAATAATAATAATAATAATAATAATAATAATAATAATAATAATAATAATAATAATAATAATAATAATAATAATAATAATAATAATAATAATAATAATAATAATAATAATAATAATAATAATAATAATAATAATATAATAATAATAATAATAATATAATAATAATAATAATAATAATAATAATAATATAATAATAATAATAATAATAATAATAATAATAATAATAATAATAATAATAATAATAATAATAATAATAATAATAATAATAATAATAATAATAATAATAATAATAATAATAATAATAATAATAATAATAATAATAATAATAATAATAATAATAATAATAATAATAATAATAATAATAATAATAATAATAATAATAATAATAATAATAATAATAATAATAATAATAATAATAATAATAATAATAATAATAATAATAATGATAATAATAATGATAATAATAATAATAGTTCCGTGAGCATTTCATTTCACATCTGGGACCGGTTTATCAAGGCGGGCAGATCGACCGACTTAATGGCTTTAGACTATTTCTGGTGAGGCATGTCTATACAGTGAGCCATCTTCAATTTACACATTGAAAGACAACATTGAAGCATTTCTTGGTGAAATATCCACGAAATGTAAGAAAGAGTGTGCCAAAAATTGGACTTAGCAGATAGACCATTTCGGGTGCAGCCGCGGTCAAACTTCGCATTAAGTTATCAAACATTTAATTATATGGACCATACTATCAATTCACATTAGGAGTTCATGTATGCATCTGGGTCGTATTTTTTTTCAACTTTCCTGCACCTCTTAAAAAATCACCTTTTACCACTAGAAATGTCTGCTATACATTTATATATAAATATTTACATTTATATATGTCCACAAGCTAATCAAAATAAATCCCTAATCAAATATTCTAAGCAAATTGAATTCGCCTTAAATCAACATAGAAACCAAAACATATATGTATCCAATATCATTTTGGTTTGGAAATTTCACAAACAAGCAAATCCTCCATTTGTTTGATTTTACAACAAACAAAATATTTTTATTTATTTCAATTTAATAAAAATGTTATCAATTCAATAATTTCCTAGGCAAAACTACAATAAAGCCGATATTGTAAAATATACAAAGTTTTATTGCTCTATTAGTTTTTTTTAAAGCAAATATGTCGGTTTTGTTTTTCTTCTTCATCAAGGACTCTGGCCGGGGAACATAAAAACAAATGTTTGTTTCTAATTAAACATTTAACGATTTTTAGCACTCTTTTGACAAAGAGTTAGAGAGAGAAAAAGAGATTAAATAAAACGTGAAGCAAGCTCACGAAAAAAAAAACTTTTCAAATGAAAACACTAAATGGAAATAAAAGCGAAAACTAACAAAATGCTTTGAATTTTTTAAAACTCTAATACAAACACAATTTGCCATATAAAAATACACAGCAGAATCACACAATTCTCAAACACACACACAGATATGTTGTATGTATATATTTTCCCCAAAAAAAAAAAAACATTAAACCTTTTGATGACTTTAACAAAATGCATAAAGCTCTATGGCCATACATACCGTTGCTGTCCACTGCCACTGCCGGCACCACGTTCATTGGTATTATTTGCTCCATTGGCTGCATTGTTGGTCAGACATACCGGTGCATAGTCATCAATTTGATCCTTTTGCATATCGAGTGTATCACCACTTGGCTGGGTGCGCCACACCATACCACCCGTGGAAGCATCCAACCAATAACCATTGCCATTACGTGATAAACTTGGCATTTTTAAAACATCATTGGCATGGGTACCTATAAAAATAAAAATGAGAGTCGAAAAAGAGAGAAGACAAAAACAATGGGGGTTATTTCAAAATCCACTAACAGATTGACAAAATTAAAAAGTTTTTTCCCTCCAAAAAAGAGGGGGAAAAAACAAACAAAAATAAATGTCTCATTTGGGGATTAAAGCCATATTGTCGAAATTTGTTGTTTTGTTTTAAAGCATTCAATGCGTTAGTTAACAAAAAATATCTCTACTAGTTTTCATTAAGCTTGTCTACTAAATGTCCTCTATGTTATGGTCATGTTAACTATTTAGTTAATTAACATGTCATGACAGCAAAACTGAAAAAAATGGGGGAAAACAGAAGCGCCAGCATCCAACCTACATTTGATAATAAAATTTCATTGCACTTGGAGACAAAAAACTATGTTTGAAAATTAAAACTTCAATTTATGTTCATTTAGGAGAGAGACAGAGATTAATTCACACAAAAAACCATGATGATGCTGAACGAAAATGAATGTAAAACAAGATGCAGGAAAATTGAAAATCAAATGGATAGGCATATTGTTTTAATGCCAGCAACTGGAAATTGTTGGTCTCCCAGAAAAAAAAATACCGGTGATTGGTTTGCCAGACAATATTAGTTGACATATAATAGCAAAGAGGAAAAAAAAATCCTGATTTGTTCCAGCAATTAAAACAGTGATTAAGAGAAATGACTTGAAAAAAAAAAAAACAAATGGAATGCAAAGAAAAAACGATGAAAACTTTTATAAATCATACGCCCAATGGGATACGATATTATCAATAAGTATACGCCTCGGTGTTTATGTTAAGTTTGAACTTAGATAATTTATAGTTTAACAAAAATAAGCCTATAATGAGAAAGGATGGCTACTTAAAACAGTATTGTGAATCAAACAAGTTTACCAAGCCTAAGGTAGAAAAAAAATCTGATGAAAATAATTTCAATACGACAAGTAATCAAATGCTACAGAAGGACGCGGCCGCCCTTGGGATACCCTACAACACAATAATTGAAATTAAGTTTTTGTAGATCAGAAACCCTATGGACTGGAATGAACAAACCCCTCAAGATATTGTGATACATAATTGAGCTTCTTAAATATTATTCTGAAAACAATAGGCTTTTATTTGCTATTCCTTAAGCTATTTTCCCCTTTAAACATTATCCGATGACATTCCAGACTGGTAGGGATTAGTCCTATCTTATACACTTACACCATGAAAATCTCAGGAAATTTTTATATTTTTCCATTTCAAAACTGACCCAAACTCCATGCAAAATTTCTTGAGGATCAAGCCATAATTATACCAAGACTCAATTTCATAAGGAACTCGAGCAGCTTTCCATAGAAAAATCGAGATGTATTGTATTCAGATCTATAAAAAAAATAATTCCAAGATAGTTCAAAATGCCTAACTGCAACAATTCCCCTTCTATAACTTGGCAGAATTGTGGAAAATAAAGAATGCTTCTATATAGGCTGGCAGACCAAATTTTGGGACTATATTCGACATTTTCTGCAGGAATTGGATTTGCAAATACCAAATGCGAATATAAATTTTATCGGTAGAAAAATGTGGCTTGAAACGTGACCAATGTTGGCAGATTGGCTACTATCTGAAAAATACGTTAGGGCTTGAAGGAGGGATTTAACCCTGCAATAACACAACTCAGCCAATTCTCTTAAGAATGCGGGATAAATACGTATTGATTGATATTTGACTCATAGAAGGGCCGAAAAGGGTAGAGCCCGTTTACAGGAGCTATACAAAAATTTTGACTCATTTAAGAGCGATTTTGATTTTGGTTGAGCGACATTCGAACCCTCCCCTTAAGTGGGAATTGCCGCATGAAAGCTATAATAATAACCAGAAGATGGGGGAAAACAGTATTAAATAAATGGAATTATTTTTTATGTTTTATTTAAATAAATCATACGCAGCATTGTCACATTGCAATATATAATTCATAAAATTTGCGGACAATGCTGCGAATGATTTATTTAAATAAAAAAGGGAGACAAATTTAATTTCCAATAATTGAATAAAGAAAGTTCATATTTTCTGGCAATCAATATGACCTCCACTATAAGACGGTTTATATGAGTTTTTTATTTTGTCCAGAATTCCTCAAAATAACAATAGACCACCAAGAACATACATAGTGGTTGGAGGAAACATATAACGTTTGACTTCAGTTCGTAAAACTTGAAAATGAGCAAATCTGATCTAAAATATTATCGGATATATTCTGAAACCGTGTACTTTAGGGAATTTCAAAACCCCATTTAAAAATAGCTAGTTATCTATGCTTTATTTAATTTCCAGGAAGCCTTAAATTAACATAGCTGAAATCTCCGGTCTCCCTCGTTTAAAAACATTTAAAGCAACTACATAAAAAGTTACAATAAATGCAACTGAGTATTTAAAATTTCCAGAAAAGTTTTATTTTACACCTGACTGTCTGCTTAACAATTGCATTCAAGTGGTTTGGTTAAGTCCTTTTTTTTGCCTTCATTTCACCAGCTTTTAAACACCACGAAAAGTCAGTCAGCATTTAATGGCAACAAAAACGACAACAATGAAATCCACTTCTTAACTCATCTACCCAACGGTAAGGCTTGTGAAAAATTGTAAAATAATGCTGAGTTAACACAACATCATACTTCAATACAAAACTGGCCGAAAATGACTTTCAGACACTCATCCCCAAAGAGAAAATAATTGTTTTTTTTTTTTTTCATAAAAAAATTTTTATGAAACTTTAAAAGGGTTTTAAAACGTAGTCTATTTTTCACTTACCTCGTATGGTATTTAAGGCAGATTGTTTCATCATCATGTGTTTACGCTTGACAAAGACCATGGCGCCAAAGGATAACATCATTATGGCCAATATGGCACCCAATAATATAATAAACCATGGTTGAGTTAATACATCATCGACATGATCTTGATTTATGGGATATCTAAAAAATGGAGGAAAGAGAGAAAAAGCACACACATTTACATAGGATACAAAATTATGCAAGGAGAATAGAAGAAAGGTCATACATCATATTTATGAATTTTTGCATAAATAATGGCTCCATACACCATTTTTTGTGGAATCTATTTAAATACTTTACCCAACAAAAAAACATATATTAGATGATGATATAAAAACTTTGCCAACTTACCGTTGATTTATGAAAGGATCTAATCTCTTGGTAATGGGATCCAATCTCAATGTTGCCGGCGAACAATAGGGACCAATGCCAGCATTATTCCCAGCTGCCACACTTACGGTATACATGACACCTTCGGTTAAATTGGCCAACACCAGTGTGGGTGAGGCAGCATCAATTGTGACATTTGTTAGAATACGTGAGAAATTATGGGCCGTATCAATGCCACGCACAACAATGTGATAGTACAACAATACGCCTAATGAGGTGCCAACAAGAAAATTATATATGTGTGAAAAGAAAAAGAGAGATGAAAAAAAAAAAACGGAAAATATATTAAATAACAATGGCATTTAAAAAGAGATTAGCTATGGAAGGGATCTCTGGAAAAAAAGGACCAACAGCAAATGCTTTGTTGCCGTTCAAGCAAAACATGGTAGCATCAGGTTTGTGTTGGGTCCTTTTATTCTCACCCGTCATTGTTAACACACACACACACACACATGTATTACTATGTGTTGGGCGTAGTGTTACTTACCATGTTGAGCCTTAAGATTTGGTTGTTTCCATTTCAAGAATACAGCCGATGAATTCAACAATATGGCTTCCATGCCAAATGGTGCTTCATTGGGTACTGTGAGAAGAAAAAAAAAAAACAGAATAGGAATGAAAAAAATGCATAATGAGAAGAAAATTATTTTGAAGGCAAATGAGAAATATGTTAGGGGAAAATTCTGGCATGGAATTATTATTATGAAATTATGGTAATTGAATTAAAATTATATTAGAATGGGAATACAAAGAAAAGGAAAATGAAACTATTCCCTAAAATAAGTATACTTTAGCCATTAAAGGAAATCCAAGAGCCGGGCGCGGCGAAGTATATGATACCATATCCCGTTATGCATATTTGGCAGAGGAAACTAAAATATGGGAGGTATTTCCAACTGTAATCGATATCTGCCAAATTTGATCGATTTCTGCCAAATATCTCACGTACCCCTGGATCTGAGTTTCACCAAATAAAAAATTGGTTGAATGTGCAAAAATCCATCCAATTTGGGTTGATATTACATATTTTATGCATGATAAACGTGAAATTCGATAAAGATATATAGGAGCTATAGCTAAATCTGAACCAATCTCGATAAAATTTGGAAGATGCATTTCTGAAGCATCTGGAACCAAATATCATTATTGTAGACTTTATATTACGAAAATGAGAGACTTAAACATCAAATCAAATTAAATATACGTATGGGGGCTATAGCTATATCAGAACCGATTTTCACCAAATTTGTCGTACATGCTTCTAGGCTCAATTTGGTCACATGTGCCTAATTCCATCCTATTTAAGCAAATATAATACATTTGGTGCACAATAAAAAACTTAATATTGGCCGACCAATTTCAAAGAGGTTCGTCTTTGATTTTTATTTCATTTTTAAACTGAAAAACGAATCTTCTAAACAAAAACGCCTTTAAGAGAACTATTAACTAATTTCATGGCGCAATTACATGTTTTGTTGCATACTTTTAGGCTAGAACTGTAATTGAATGCCTAGCGTTTAGGTTTTTATGAATATCTTTATTCCTAGTGATCCATTGTATATATTTCCATATATCCCAGAATAAACACAGACATCTCTGTCGATCCTATCCAATATCCTTTGACAAAATCAATAAAAATTATTGAAGGACCAGTGAAATTCGTACAAACTCAAGGGAATTTTTCCCATCCTTATGATACTACGGCTCACGCAGCCCGGAACATATTTCTTAAGCCTTTAAGATCCTTGCAAGTAATACGCCAAACTGTCTTAATGAGAGAGATTCTTCTAGATTCAATTCAAATTCCACCCTAGTGAAACATAAAAAAATTCATAATTCTCCTAATTTTTTTAAATATCTGGATACTTTGAAAGTTTAATTAAATTTTTAAAATAAAATACGACTATTCCAAAAAATCACCTTTTGCAGAACAATTAACAAAGTCCATGTCACAAAGTCAAGGTAATCCGAAATGCAAGCAAAATTCACATTTTCGTTGCATACTTTTAGGCTACAACTTCAATTTAATGCCTAGCGTTTAGGTATTCCATGAATATCTTTATTCCAAATGATCCATTGTATATTTTGCACCGTATCCCTGCATAAAAAAATAAATCTCTGCCAAGGATATTTCTTGTTTTTGTTGTTGCAAAAACCATACAAATATAAACAACAATTATTATTGTAGGCACAATTGTCACCTGTCTGTCTGTCTGTCTGTCCGTCTGTCTTTTGGAGCATTTCAAATGAGTTGCCTTCATCCATGAAATGTTTTTATTATTCCAGAGATGTGTTGTTGAACAATATGAAGACAACATCAACAACATCATCATCCCGAGTGAAACCAAACTGAAGCCTAAGGGTAATGACAAACGGAAATGCAACCACAAAAATTGTTTACATTTGCAAAAATCACATATCAGAAGCCGGAGAATTTTAAGTGTGTGCCTGTATGTGTGGGGAAAGGGCCCACTTTAACTGCAGGCATGCAATTGCAATGTTTGTTTTCTTAGGAATGTTGGATGGAAAATCCGACCCTTTCCCTTACCTTCATTATGTATTATCCCATGCAGTCATGTAGGAATGGGATTTTCCCCTCTTCCATTACCATTTTATTGTGTTTTCTTTTTCTTTAGGTCTTAGATTTCCCCCATTTTTTCCTGTTTACACGTAACATTTACTGTCAACTGTTGTTACGTGCTGCAATTTGTATGCAATTTAAATAGAAACAAAAACCAGCAAATCCTTTTCTTAGTCCATTTTTCTGCATCATGGCCTAGGCGTGTGTGTTTTGCTGGCTTTTTGTTGAAATGAGTTTTTTTGTGTTGCACGTAAGAATAAATGTCCTTCTGTGATTGTGTCTCTCTCTTGTTGTGACAATGGTGCTTTAGCACGTTGCAGCTTAATGCAAAAGTGAGACAAGGTAATTGCAAATCAACTTAAGCAAAAGAGTCCGTGCATGTTGAGGAATTACAAAACGAAAAAAATGCATGAATGAAGGATTGGAATGTGTGGTTTTTATAGGAGTTTAAAGGGAATGAAATTTTGTTGAGGATGGATTTTCTTTTAATAAATGGAGGCATGATCTTTAAATTGATTGTTGATTTAAAGTTAGAAGTATCTAAATTAAAAACAAATCTATTAGAGAAATCTTCATGATCGAAAAATTTCAAAAAACCTTGTGTATATTGACGATTGTAGTAAAGAATTTTTTATAAAAATGTCCTTGGAAATTTTGGATGGGACTCAATTAACCCAGGGTTATATTTTAGCGTTTATATGAGAAAATCATTTATATGACGATATTTATAAAAAAATCATTAGAAAAAATTCATGATCGAGAATTTTTTAAGGGCCCTAATGTGGTTATAAATTTCTCATAAAGATTTCTTTGGAAATTTCGAATGGGTCTCTTTTAAACCAGTCCAAATTATGGCTTTTAAAACTTAAAATAACAAAATACTTTAAAATTTCAATCAAATATCAAATAGTTATGAAATACAAAGATTTGTTATGCTGGGGGTCCATACAAATACAAATTTTCGAAAAATTTAACAAATTCTCAGTCCCAAAAACCCCTTATTTTCACCTGATTTACCATATCTTCCTTTACAATTCTCAAAATTATACCAGAGCTCTACAAATGCTCAAGAATAAGTTATGAAGAAAACAACCCACAGCTAACAAAGCAATCAAAATAAAACGTCGCAGCCAAAGAATGACAACAAACACAACAATCAAAACATCACAATATACTCGAGTAGCAGGATAGAAAAACAAGTGCAAACGGAGCTCACTCGGAAAACACAACACCAATAACACCAAGGTACAAGTATTATTTTCAAACGACTCCTTCTACACTCATGTGGGTGCTCGCCGTTGAATGTGTGTATTTTACATATGTATTTATGTGTGTGTGTGTGCATCATCCTTACAAATCCAAGCCATTTTCCACTTGCCTTGCAAAAATAAACCTAAATGGAAATGTAAAGAGTAATGTAAAGAGCATTTTCACAAATGCAGCCACCTTTAAATAAAAAAGTATCGCACGCACACCCAAACATAAAGGCAGTCGTGGAAGAAAAGGGAAAACTCCTTCCCTTTATTGTACCCAGTAAACAATTTTTTCCGACTGCTCTGATTTTAGATTTTTTTCCGAAATTTCTGACGTTTTTTTCAGAAATTTCTGATAGAAATTGGTCCGATTTTCTAAACGTTTTTTTTTAGAATTTCTGCACATTTTCCTGTGTTTTTAAGCGAAAAAAACTCGAAAAATGTACAAACGGAGAGAGTAGATTGTCTATTGCTCTGGCATATTCTCTCCCACATGTAAACGGATGGTGGTGGTTTGACACATTCTCTCCCATAGTAGTTGTTGTTGTGATCATTCATTTCAAGATCTCAACAACAACAAAGCGCAAAGCAAAAATGCTATTTGTTATTGTGAACTGTTAGATTTTCCGTTGTAAAAATGTGCGTTTTGTTGTTGTTGTGAATCAGCCTCTTTCTCTTTCATTCCCAAAAAAATATGATGGAAAATTTTATTCCGAATTTTTTTTCGAATTCTGACTGATTTCTTTTAGAAAATCTGAATATTCCGCCGAATTTCCAGACGAATTCTGCCCGATTTCTTTCAGAAATTCGGAGTTGTCCTCCGAATCTTTTCCGAAAATCTAATTTTTTCTCCTATTTTTTCAAGAATTTTCACCGAATTCGTCCAGAAAATCTAATATTTCTTCAGATTTTTTTCAGAAAATCTTTCCGAATTCGGTGACCACGTCCATACAACTTTCGTACCGAAATCGGAAGGAATTCGGAATCAGAATCGGACATTTTTTCAGAGATTCTGACAGAAATCGGACCGAATTCGGCAAAAATTGTTTACTGGGTAGTTAGACAAAAATTACACACACACATACACAACCACTGGCTTCAGCCGAAGCAAAACCGTAATCAGGGATGGAAAGTTGTTATAGAAGACTTGAAACAAATTATTTAAGTGTCATCTATTGGCTAGTGTGAACATTTCATCCAGGCATTTGGAAAGTGGTACGTGTCTTTGCTAGAGTGAGAATTGCCAATTTCATTGATCGCATTTTTAATTGACCTTGCTGAATGGTCGCATACCGCGTTGCCAAACAAACAAAACATTTTTATGGCTAGGGTTGGCATTACGTTGGATGCGATTGCGGCAATATACATTAGGCAACGCAACGCTTAAGGAACTTATTTTAAACGAATAATATGAAATGTCATCTATGACATTGGCAGCACTGAATAAAGCAAGGACATTCTGTTTGCTATGTTCGTATCTTAGATTGGTGTGCAATGACAGTTTCGAATGGATTTTTATATGAAGATCAAATAGTAACTGAAATGCTTTATTGCTAATAGTTGGCGCCCTATATATCGCAGAAAAAGTCTCTAAATGGGGCATAACTCTACACATATTTTCCTTGGTCTAGAACGAAAATATTTAGTCTATATTCTTGCTTAACTAAGTTAAATCAATAAATATTTTCGAATTGTTAAATTTGGCGCTAAATCAAAATGTTTAACGAATAGCATTAACCAGCATCAACACTGATTTTATATTTAGTTGCCAACCTATAATTTTTACAAGGGCTTGTCTATGTAGGACTCCTGTTTTTATGTTACAATCGACAGAATAAGACTTGAATCTACTTGAAACTTGAGATCTATAACATGGAGACTTGTACTGATTTTTTTGGTATAGACAAGGAAATAAAAGGACTCGAACCAAAATTACTTAATGTTAAAGTATTAAAATTTTATTTAAATTTATTTAAATTTGAACAAATATAGGAGTTTTTCAAAGCCAAAACTTTTTTGAGTTTTTACTCTTTCCCAAAATTATTATTTTAACTTGTTGGCGCCCAACTGCTCAGGCTTCCATTGAAAATACAACTCAAATGTGTAGTGAATTTTAAAGTGCAAATATTAAGACCTTATTTTTAAAACCTTTAAGACCTCTTTTATAACTCTAAACTATCCATCTCTGCCTCTGAACGTCTATTGGGCGCCACACATTAAAACCCAACCCTGCATTACATTTATAAAGTTTTCCATCACAACAGTTAAAGTGTTATTGTAAAGTAGAAAAAGAAGAAAAAACAACAGCAAGTGCATGGTGGCCTTATTGTCAACTTTGGTACTCATCAGCTCATTAATGATGTTCTCTGATGCTAAGCCAGTGAAGTGGAGAGAGAGAGAACAAATTCTGATGTTGATGATGAGTTTTGCCATCATAAAACTTGGCATACATCAGCATTTTCTTGTTGTAACATCAACATAGTTGATGGAAGAAAAGCTTATAAATAAACAAATGAAAATGATGTTGTTGTTGTCGCTGTTGTCTACCCAGCAAATTTTTCCCCCATTAGAAGCAAAGACTTGTGGAAATTATAACAGAGAAAGAGGTAAATGAAATTTGTATCTTTTTCAACAATTCTGTTGGCCTGATATTTTTCCATACAGACACACACACACATGTATGTAAATGTGCAAAGAAAAGCTTACACATACATACATGCGTGTGGTGTACATGTAATATATGCAGACAGACACACCATCTATTTGAGTAGGTCTTTTTATGTTTTATTTCTTTGTTTTGTTTCTGCTGCTATCTTTGGCGGCTGTGCTTAAGTGCGTATTTGTTTATGCTTTATTTATTCTGTAAATGCATGGGGATGGTCGCCCCAAATGTTGTTCACATGTGTGCGAGTGTGTGCGTTCGTGTTTTGGCTGCCTGTCAAAAGGAGTTCAAGTGAGTCTGGGAAACGGAAACCATGCGGATGCAACTTTTTTCTTTTTCTCTCCCCATAAATAAAAGCGGAAGTTTTTGTGGTTATTTAAAGTAATCAGTCTATGATTGTTTAAATAAAAAAACAAACGGCAAAAGTTCAACTCATCATTGGATTTGCTTGCGTTTCTTGAGATAGGCAAATAGAAAAAAAGTTTTTTTCTTTTTTCCTGTCTTGCAACTTCATCGCCCTTTTCTATTTCTTTGTTTGTGTAAAAGTTGCTGTTTTCTTTTTTATCAGAAACGCATTAAAAAGTTTTTCTGTCATTTTTTTATCTAAATGTCAAAGAGGGGTGTTTTTTCAATGAATGTCTTTGGCTAAATAAGGGTTAATTAAGTGGGTGCTTTGGAAAATTCTTGAGATTTCCTAATAAGGTATTTTGAGTGGAGGGAAATGGATTTAAATAAACTCTAAACAATGAAAATGTCATGAGAGATTTTGAAATAAATAATTCCCCTTTAATTTGATTACGAATTGTATTTTACGTTGGGCGCCACTGGTTTAAATAAATCAGTTTTTTTGAAGAAATTTAAATATATGTAAAAAATTTTGTGCAAATGTCATTCAAGGACGAAAAACAATGACTTTCACGCTGGGCGCCATTATTTATATTCAAAATTATTTTCTGTAAAAAGTTTTTTTTTTTTATTTTTGAAGTGCTTTCAATCAAATATTGCAATGCTTTTATTTACTTCAAAAAATTTATTTTTGAATGGTGGGCCCATAACAAATATTACCAATTATTTTCAGCTACATATCTCTTAGATATCGATTTAAATCTCATTGTTTATTTTTTTCATTATATTGTGATTACTAACTCCACTTCGGAATTCCTTAAAATTTTTCCCCTCCAGCTAAATGAAGGGTTTGTAGAGTTCATCAAATATTTACTTTTTGTTAAACTAGCAACAACAGCATCAGCTGTTTTCCCTTCTAAAAGTATTGTATAATTTTCCGATTAAATATTTATTGATGCGGAAAAAGGGCAAAGGATTCTGCCACATATCATGCGTAAGAAAAACTTTGCAAAGTTTTTTTTTTCTGTTTTCATTCATATTGAATTAGTTAGAAGGGCAGTCAGCCATCTGCCAAAAAAGGGTTAATTTTCTATTTCAAGGGTAGGGGAGAGGTAAGGGCTAATAATGGTTTCAGACATTATCTAAAGTTTGGCAAATTATTAACACAAAACTTGTAAAGTGTGTTTCATAATTTTTTAGGGAAAGTTTTCTTAAAGACTTAAGAAAGTGAGGAAATATAAAAAAATTAAGTGGGAACATGCTTAATAATAAGCCTTGGTGTTTTTGTTTAAAAACATCGATTGGGGCTGATTTTGGTTGGTCAGTTAAAATAGCTTCAGTCGACTCATGAAACACAGACATTATATAAATAATTTTCCTCCACCTTCACCATAAATTAGATCTGTTCCAACTCCCCCACAGTGTGGGCAATATTAAATTTTTGGTTTAAAAATTCTTGGCACAAAAATTCTTTTTTTTTTGGTACCTTCCCTCTGACAAAATATAAATTTGATTTATTCCTTTCTCCCACCCCCTCTCCGCCAAAAAATAATTCCACAATAAATGTAAAATTGCACAGCAAAAATAAAAAAGAAAACATGCCAGTTTTTCCAACATACATACACACATGTAAAAATAATAATCATCATTCGACTTACCATCTTCCAAAGTTCGGGCGACACGTGAATTCGATGGTTTACCCTCGACCGACTTATAAAAGGGTACAATGAAAAATTCATATAACGTATATTGCAATAGACCGGTCATGGTACATGAGGAGGCGCCACCACCATTCAATATGGTCAACATGCGATATGTTGTACTGCCAACATAGGCTGCAGCCGATTGGATGACGCTCGATGGTGTTGTGGAGGCCACCACATAAGCTGTACCGTCACGTCTGGCAATATTTGGTTTTGATGCCGAAATCAATGCCGATGAAGAGGCTGATGTTGAATGGGAACGACTGCTGCTACTGCTACTACGTGCGGCAGCTACTAATGGATTTGTGTTGGCTGTGGAACCGGCTGAAGTATCCAAAAGTTGACGTGCGTAAATATAGAAACCTTCAACATATTTGCCATTGATGATCTGTGAGGAAAACAGAGAGAGAAAACAATAAGGAAATGAAGTTTTTAGCATTAAGATATTACTTTTACAACAACAAAAACACAAAACAACAAAACTTTGTTTAATTTCCGCTGGAAATAAACAAAAGAAGAGAGAAAATCTTTACAAGTTTTTCCAAATCACTAACCTGCCAAGATAATTTCATGCTGGTCGAATCCACAACACTGGCATTGATAAGTTCTATAACATCACCGGATAAGAGACTGGCACGAGCTTCACTCAAATCCAAACCGCTATTGAAGTATTTCTAAAACACACACACACGAAGAAACAAAAGAAATTAATAAAGAAATCTTATTTCTTGTTATTGACAAAATCAAACTTACCGTTCCCACCACAATTGCCTCCGACATGGGTGAGGGCAATGATAGGCCATGCGAATTTTCCGCTCTTATCAAAAAGAAATAATTAATGCCTGGCAGCAAACCCACTTGGGTATAGGTTGTATTCTGTACACGACTGGCCACTTGTGTCCAGCCATCCGTTTCATTTTTGGCAAACATTTCCACAACATAACCGACCAGGCTGGAGGCACCCACTTTATTGCTACGTGTCCATGACAAACTAATTGAGTCTTCAGTTTTGTCTACCACTTGAGGTTTGCCAGGTGGTCCAGGATGAGCCGACAGCTCAGGTGCCCGAAAGAATTTGATATTGGGATTTGTGGGTGAATCCAAACGCAGATAACCACTCCACGATGATTTGCCATTACGATTGCTGGCCACACAAGTGTAGAGGCCTTCATCCTCATTCTTCATTAGGTCAACAATGGTTAGAGAACCGGAATCGGACATATTGCGTCTCTCATGATCCATAACATCAATGGGTATACCATTCAAATACCATTGAACTTGAGGTATGGGTGAGCCCAAAGTGCGACAAGGTAGGGTAACAATTGATTTGACGGGTAGTGTCTGATTCACAGGACCCTGTTCAATGACGGGTGGTGGTAAATCGAATTGGGTGTCGACAGTGACAACGGTACGGCTGCTAACACTACCCACAGCATTCAGAGCATTGCACACGACCACTTTGCCACTATCCTCACGGGCAAAACGAAAGATCGACAAAACCGAACGACCCTCGGGTGTCACCGTAACTTCCAAACGGGTATCCTTGTAGCCGGGGAATAGCAGAGAACTATTACCTTCAATGGACCAATAGACAGTGGGTTTGGGATAACCCGTGGCCTGACATTCGAAGATAACCTCATCGCCGACTTCGACCAATTGATTTTTGGGTCTAATCGAGAATTTAGGGGGAGCTGTAAAAAAATTAAAAATATTAATAATTTGTTGGAAATTATTATTTTTTAAGTTAACTTACCGTGCACAATAAGGGTACCAGTGGCTGTTATCGAACCTACAGCATTATCGGCCTCACAGGTATATTCACCCATATCTTCCAATGTAATGTCGTCCAATTTCAAGCTTCGATCTTCCAAGACCGTGACACGACCTAGATATTAAAAAAGGAAAAATGAAAAAAAAATTATAAATTTTTCCATAGCGAAAGTGAGTGTGGGAAAACTACAGAGATTCATGATGGGCGCCATCTGAAGCTTAAAGAGGATTTCAATGCCAAAACAAATTTAAATTAAATAAACACGTCCCGAGTGTTTTTAAAAATTAAAAATAGTGTCTTAAGAATGATATTAGGCGCCATTTTATGTCAATTTTCATATGATGTAGAGTTTAAATATAAAACTGTCATTGAAAGCATTTTATCTTTGGTTTGAGTGCTAAAGCAAATAGACTCTAGTAGGTGTTTTAAAACTCTAAATTTCATATTTGCCCCACATCGGGCGCCATTTAATGTTGGTGTTTATATGTTATGTTATTAGTAAAACTGCCATTCGTTATTCAATTTACATTGGTAATTCAACTCAGCTGCCCAATGTTGGGCGCCATATTTATGTTACATTAACTTGAAGAAAGCCCACATTGAATAAATGAATGTGAACAACCTACAACTTTGCCAAAACAAACTTAAATGCATATTTGTCTAAATTCTTCTACATATTGTCATAATTTCTACCTCCTCAAAACCACAGCACAATTAGCCTAGCTTAATTAATTTGATTACCATTAACCTAAGCGCAACCAATATTGCAATGAGAAGGAAAACCACATTCTAAATATTATTCGTCATATGTCTAACGAAACATACTCCCGGGTAAACATTTCAAATGAAAAATACCAAAGGAAAACCACATATTTTGGCAAATGCCAAAACATTCACCCACATAGACACACAACATAACACACATACATTTTATATGGCATTTTATGGTCCACATACTCATTAACTCCCCACCACTGTATTGTAGCATGCTTTCTCTTGCAATGGGTTGGACCAAATTCAGTTTTGCAACAAAACCCCAAAAAGTAATTTTCATTTAGAAAATCAAACTAAACTAACAAACTTCTCAAATTGAAGCGAAAAACACATAAACTGAAGAGCTAAAATAACATGACATCTGAATTTTTTGGAAAACTAAGAACTCCCCCACCCTCCCACACACTAATGAAAACAGAAACAAGCTTCCCAGTTTGGGGCTGAATTGCAGGTATCATAGATGACCGCTTACTGTGTTATGTGGTTTCCGGCTAATTGACAATCAGAGAAGGGTTAAACAAACAAAGAGCGACCACAATCGTTTAGTAACAAATGAGTGGGGGTGAAGTGAGTGTGTTGGATGGGGAAGGGGAACATAAAAATTATTGTAGCGGTAGAAATGTCAACAAACAAACAGACAAACAAGGAAACCTCTGTGAACAAAATAAAAATCAACATAAAACCAAATGCTGGCGTTTTAAAAGGACAAACGACAATTTATCCTGTACAACTGAGATAAACAGCTTTTACCCCAATGCGAACATACACACGACTGCATTACATTCACAACGCACACACACACAGGTAGCAAAAGGAAATCCGTTGTTTGCTCTAGAGTAGTTTATCCACAAACACAGGTTTTCATATCACAAACTTACGTAAAGGCATATTTCCACCCGAGGCTGTGCGACGCCACAGGACATCCGGCAATGGATCACCACCAATGCGGCACTGGAATATAACCGATGTACCCACAACAGCTGTTTGGTTTTGGGGGCCGCGTATTAAAAATGGTCGAGCTAAATGGCGGAGAGAGAGAGAAAGAAAGAAAAATAAATGAAACAATTGTAATGAATTAAATTTGAAAAATTATCGTGTTTACAACAGGTGCTAAAACTTGAAGAAGCACACAAAAGGAAATGAAATGAACAACAACTTACTGTGTACTTTAAGAAAAGCTGTACTTGACTCCCTGGTACCCACAACATTTTTCACAACACACTGATAACGACCATCATCGGACTGCCGTACATCTTGTATGGCCAGATTGCCACCATCAACAATGCGTATACGTTTATTGCCACTTAGATTGAGAGTTTGTCCATTTTTACGCCAGGATACTTGGGGTTCGGGCGAACCACGCGGTGGGCCACATTCCATGAGGGCAACTTCACCCTGAGCCACACGGGTGTTTTGAGGTTCCAAGCGGAATTCGTCACGTAAGACTGAAAGGAAAGAAAGAGAAAATTTGGGGAAGTTAATTTCAGAGTAAATGTGAAAAATATATAATAATGTCTTAGGATTTACGTTGGGCGCCATTTTGTAATGTATGGAAAAACTAATATTTCTTTATCTATATTTAAATTCTACATTAGTTGAGGCATATTTAGAAACTAGGCCAATTTTTAGCTTGGAGGCCAAATTTTAGCTGGTCGTTCAAAACCAGTTTGGGTAAAATTATCAGTATTCCATAAAAGAGATATATAGTGGCTTAGTGTCAACTATTTTTAATGATTTTGAAAGAAGGCTTCTAAGAATTCATAAAAATCAAATATTTTTAAAAAAAATAGTGGCATTTTCATCTAAATTTAAAAATTGATTTGTGACTTTAACAATCGTTATCTGAATGTTAAATTGCTTAGTTTTTACGCTGGGCGCCTCATACTTCAGATAATTTTTTTCGAGTTAATAACCTTCTCTGTTAATTCATTCCTCTAGATATTAAAGCGCAGAGCACACATTTTTGATTATACTTTGGGCGCCACTCATGTCTTAAAACGTATATTTGTTAAGGATTAACTTCTTTCAATTTTACGTTGGGCGCCAGGTTCTTAAGAGATTTTTTGGTTTTTATACATCTCCGGAAAAATGGATAATTGTTATCAAACCTATAGATAAATTGTAACTTGTTAACAATTATGTATTCGAGCTCCTTCGTCGGGCGCCACCGACGGGGTTTAAAGGTTTATAAAATGACACATCTGTGTCATAACGTTTTGTCATCAAAAAGTATATTGATGACTCAATGATTACATTCGATTTAAGCTTTAGCCCCACTTTGGGCGCCAATTGAAATTTTTCTGGAAATATACGCAACTTACAAGCCTTGTTGCTAAATTTAGTAATATATTATATTTCGAGAAGTTAAAACGGCTTCATTATTAGAATATTTATTATTCGCCATTTTGGGCGCCAATGTAATTACGCAATTATGAATTCTACAAAAATTAATATATGAGTATTTTTCTCGTCGGTTTTCATTGCCCAATTTTAATGAAATGTTAAATGTTTTACAAATGAAAACATAATAAATCAATAGTGCCACGTTGGGCGCCAGTTACTATTTCTGTTTTTTTTTTTTTTTTATCAATTTAAATTACAAATTTGGTTTTGGAGATTCAATATTAATATTATATTTCATAGAGAAGAAACGGTTTTCCAATTTAAAATGTATCAACATCCCCCCCTTGGGCGCCATTTCTTTTTAATTAAATAATATTATTCAATAAATCTTTTCAATAATACTTACATGCAACCTGTAGCGTAGCATTACGTGATCTCGCCACACCAAATTCATTTTTGGCCTGACACCAATATGTCCCAGCATCACTTTCACGTCTCGAGTGTATAACCTAAAATAAAATAAGAAAAAAAAAACAAATTTTATTGTGAATTTTGGAGTGGTAAAATTTGATTAATATCTATGCAATAAGGAAAATTATTTCAGGAATTTCGTTTCAAAATAAAAATTACAATTTCGTTAACAATAAAACCCCTTTGATGTGCTACGCAGATAGATGGGCACGTGTTGATGTTTAAAATCTTATCACAAAATACAAATCTTTTTGAAATGTTGTTACAAATTGGCCAGAACAGCAGAAAGCTAGCCAACCGGACTACAATGGAGAGAATTTTTAATTAAATTTTATAATGAAATGAAAAGGAAGTAAGGTGGGAGGCAGGACAAATTTCAATATAATGGAAAGAAGAAAGATGATGGGTAAGGAGAAACAGATATGTGGGAATATTGTCCAAGTTAATTTAATTATTTAAATTTTGAATTGATTTTAATAGAAAAATTTGGAATGAAACATTAGAGTGTAAAAAAATGGTGAGAGAGTTTCAAATATATTAAAAATTGAGATCTATAAAAATAAATATGGAAGTGTTGCAATATTTTGGCCCTCATTGAAAGGAAACTGTATTTTATAATAATTCAAATGTTTTATTAATTTCAAAGGAAATTTACAATGAAACATTAGGGTGCATTATTCTCGTAAAAGAGTCCCAAATATATCCAAAATTAAGGTATGTGAAAACATGTTAGCAATTTTGTGACATTTTGAATCTGATTCAACAAAATACAAAATAATTGATCTACATCATCGTGACTTTTAAATACTAAAAAAACTCGATTTTATATTTTTAATTTTGCACATGTGTTACGGAAACGGAAATTCAAATTCATTGCAAATCATTCAAAGGACATTATTGACAAAAAACAAACGACTTCAAAACCCTGTCTTTTTTCATATACAAAAAAACCTATTCAAAATATGTATGAATGTTCATATCCGCATGTTTGTCTGTTTGTAAAAAAAAGTTCATCAGTCATGTGTTAATAATTTGTGGCCAACATACTTTGCGTTTGTCCGTTTGTATTCAGATGTTTGTGTGCCCTGATGTCTCTCGCCACGTTGTTTTATTATTGAAAAATATGTTTATAAATATAAACGCCATATAATTGCAATTTACATATTTTATATGAAATGTGTGCAATGTTTTTTGTGTTGTCGTTGGCGGCCCTAATGAAACAGCATGGCAAAAACATCTGTTAAATATGAGTATTTACGAAATGTTCTTTTCATTTCATTTGAATGCTAGTTTGTTGAGAGCAGCCGCGCCATTTGTTGTGTGGCCGTAATGGTTTTTTTTCTCGCACCGACCATACCCCTTTTGAAATGCGCGGCTTTATTGAAATTCATTCATTTCTTTGAAATTGTAAAACAATGATGAACAAATAGTTTGCTAATTGATATTTAATTTAATGGACATTTAGTGCAAATTGCCAGTGTGGTAAACTTGGGGGGCGAGGGGAACAAGTTTGCCTGAATGTGAATATTTATAAAGTTTGTGGCACGCGACAATTATTAAAAAATATTTAACAAATACAAAACATTACATAGAATAGTTTGTGGCTATATTTTTCGGGGGAGGTGTGTTGTACCTTTCAGCCCAAGGAAGAAATTTGGTTTGAAACATAAAAAATTTTCAGTGTGATTTCACGAACGGCCTAGTTTAATTAAACTATTCAGTGAATCGAAAATGTGTAAAATTAGGATTACAAGAACTATATATTAAAAGATTATTACAGGTTCGATTATACATGATGTTAGAACCATATGTAAAGTACATTTTTCACACTCCCCAGAATTTTTTAATCTTAAGGAAGTTTCTTATAGGACGCTATGCAAGTATCGCTATGAATAAATAAAATACAACTGTAAGATATGGCGTTAGTTTAAGTTTGAAAATTGTTAAATGCTCCCCAAAGTATGCAATGAAAATATAAAATATGAAAATTTCACTTAACATATGACTTTTACATAATGTACAGGGTGAGATAAGAAAACTGCAACCAACTTTAGACTGCTGTCATTTCTTAGCTACTCATCCGACAGCTGTTAAAATTATTCCAGCAACAGCTCATTATATTGTTTACAAGGTACAGAAGCATTTTGGTGAGAATTTTCCAGAAAATAAGTTATTTGTGATTTGGCTAGAAAACCATAAGTGACTATCGTTAGAGCACTCCAGCATTTAAATGTGAATAAATCATTTGTGTCTCGTACCATCGTTCGTCGCAACATAAGCAGAATTGGTTCGAAAAGTAAAGAAGCGACTTGATCGAAATCCGCGTAGCAGTGGCCTAAAAATGGCTCGTAAGCTGAACATATCGCAATATTCCATTCGGCAAATATTGAAAAACGAGCTCGGGGTAAAGCCATTGAAATTCCAAAAAGTGCAAGAACTTACACCGCACAAGAACAAAAATAGACCCAAAAGAGCTAAAGAGTTGCTTTGCTGCGCCGAAAGTGGTGAATAATATTCTTAGTCTAAAATCAAATTCCTTTTTCTACAAATCTTACCTTTAGAAAAAACAAATCCCCCGCTGGCATAACAATGCGATGAGAGCCGGAGTCCGTTTTCAATTCATTGCCATCCTTGAACCATTGTATCGATGGTGTTGGGGTGCCCTCGGCTTTGCAATTAAATGTAAATGGATCATTTTTTGGTACCACCATATCCTTGGGATGTTCAATAATGCGGGGATTTTGAGCTAAAAATAGAAAAAAATGAAGAAAAATTAATTATAATTTAAATATGGAAGAAGTAGGACAAAGAATTTGCTATGGTTTTTGGTAAGGAAACAATTTTTCAATTTTTTTCTCATGAGATATGATTCTGCTTTTGTTAAACATTAAAGTCACCCGCCCTCGGTAATCAAAGAATACCGCCATGGGATTTACAAAGATCATACAAGACAGCAGCATGGGAAGGTAGCTAAACAATGCTTGGAGAGAGAAAAAGAGAGTATGGCAAGGAAACAATGAAAATTGTAACAATGTTATTGTCATTATAAACATTTCACGCTATGACCGTATTGTGTCATAGCCTAGCAGCACAACCTGGTCATCATGATAATAGGAAAATAATATTGTATTGGAAGAGGCAAAACCATCATCACAGGAATTTTTCCCCGTATTCTGGTCTATTGTCTTGCCATGGCATGTCCTTTGCCTTATGGCTTCTTTTAAATCAGAGGTGGAGCAAAAAGCATATGCCTCGATTTTTCTCCTCTCAATATTGTGAACCTATCTATTCATTGTTATGGGTTCCTTCTTTCTTTTTTTCTATTAAATGAATGAAAATTATTGGATTACTTTTTGATATTTATGATAATTTGTTTTTATTTTATAGCAGGCCACAGGTTGGTTGCTTGACGACTAAAAAAAAGTTAGCAGACTATGCTAAACACAGTATCCATGCTCTGCCTCCTTGACTTGTTTCGACTGTTTTTTTGTACATCACTTATCGCTAACTACGTTTGGAAAAAATGAAGGTTCAATTGTGTTTAATCACCGTAAAAGTGATGTTAATGAATCTGTACAAAAAGATAAATTCTCATTGGAGGGATTTTGTTCAGATGCTGAGGTTCCTACCTTTTGGTCTGAGATTAAGGTTGGGGTGGGGGAAACAATTGGTGGTTTTCTGATATGTAGCATTTTCAACGTAATGATAGTGGGGGGGGGGGGAAATAAACACCTGGCTTTTACCATAATCTCCAATCAATTGGCGATTCTTTTTCGCCTTAAAATTAAGTTTAAAATTTATTTTTTTTTCACCTCAGGACATTATTTTCCTTTGGCTTAAAAATTGTAATTACAGCAGGATATTTATTTATTTTGAACATTTTCTCTACATTCGTTCTCGTGTTGTAGAAGCTAACCATTAAGGGACATTTTGTTCATTTAGCTTGGCATTGTCCTTTCTCAAGTCGTTAACGCCATTATTACCTCTTTCGCCTCCATGGCTGCAAAATGGTGTTTGCTTTTGCATTAGTTCTTTTTTAGCGGAAATTAAATTTCTGTTGAAGAGCAAAATTTATTGAAAACGGATAAATGAAGCCATCAATTGCACTGGCATTGGGCAAAAATAAAGGAGAGATAGAGATTCTCTGTTTAATTTATGGGTCGAAAAACCAAAAGTATAAAAGGAGGAAGATGTATAGATTCTCTTCTCTGTGGGTTGAGAATAGGAAAAATTTAATTAAGGAAGGAGGGAGTGAAAAAAACTATTGTAGCAATTTACTAAGTTTCTTGGTAGGACTCGATTTAAACCCCAGCAAAGAAAGGTCAAATTTTGGACCGGGGCCAACTGTATGATAGACCTATACCACTATAAGAGCTACAGATAACAAAAAAAAAAACGTTTTACTGGGAATTTATGTGAAGTAGATCTACCAACTATGAACCTATTTTGAATGCGTGTTATGGCTTTAGAGCAGCTATAATTTGGAATCCGAAAGAATTAATATCCAACTCTGAAGCGATTTCCACCCAATTTGACGGAGGCATTTGTACTTCTCGTACCAAATAACATTTCCGTAGAGTAAAGCCATATTTGACACTAGGCTGAATTGGATCGCATGTGAAAAAATCTACTCAATTTCGACAGTTATTTATCATTTCGTGCATAATATACCTGAAATCGGATAAAGATATTTTTAAAAGCTATATTCAAATATGAACCCATATCGATAAAATTTTTATGAGATTTATCGGATATCTTGTACCAATTATCATTATTGTAGAGGGCACATTGTGGAGTGTGGCGAATGTGAGGGATTTGAAAACAAATCGGTGTGCATCTGAACCGATTTTCACCAAATTTGAAATACTTGTTTTTAGGCCAAATTCTGTCATATGCATCAAAATCAACTCCATTTGGGGCCGATGCAATTTGACAGAGGTACTTATGAGCTTTGTCAGATATCTGGTATCAAATAGCATTGTTGTGGAGTGACTACTAGGAATGTGAGGGATCTAGATAAAATATCAGATATAGGGAATATAGTTTTATCTGAACCGATTTTCCCTTAATCTTACACACTTCTAGGCTTGATTCGATCGTATGTGCCAAAATCCACTCCTTTTGGACTAATATTAAAACTGTGGAGCACAATAAACGTGATTTTGGATAAGGATGTATATGGGAGTTAGATCTAAATCTGAATCGATCTCGATAAAATTTGGCAAATTGAAATATTTTGCCGAATATCCTTTCTATGCTGGAGCGATATTCAAATTTAAAACCCTTGGTTCTGAATTCGGTCGGATTTGCGAAATTGATCCCATTTAGAGGAATATTACACATATGGCGCCCAATCAAATTTAAATGGAATATGGGATTTTAATGGAATATGAATATATATTTGGTAGTCATATCTTTCACCAATTTCAATAGGATTCGTCGTTGTATCAATCGAGAGATTTGTGGGAAATTTCATCTCAGTTGGACCTGTAGATTGCTTTCAATAATACATGGATAGACAGATAGGTGGACATTCATAAATCTACTCAGAATGAGATTCTATGAAAATCGTCAAAAATGTGGCTTAGGGTATATAGGGGTGCACAATTATTAAGGACGAAATAGTAATTTCAATTTTTTATAAAAAACATACGGTTACTATTCAGGTGTTGGTGTTCTTTAATTGGTTTCAAGTTTAAGAACAACAAACCATGATACTGTTACCCTGAAATAAAAAACAATTGCCTTTCATAATTTTTTTTAATTTTTATTAGAAGTAATAATTGAAAATGATTTAGCGATTTACATCAATTTTTAATTTTTTTAATCTAAATAATCTCCATAACTTATTATCCCCTCAATTTAGGTCACCGAAAACCGTTTCCAATATTTCTCAATTCCCCTAAAAACTCTCTTGACAATCAAGGTCAAAATAATAAAAATTTCAATCACTTAAACCACAAAGAGAACAAGAATAACTTCTCGCTTTGCATTTTTCTAGCAAGCCGTTCCATAAAACCTCTCAACGGCTTTAAGATGATTTTGCTGCCCCACAACAACAAAAAACACTTCAACCATTAAAGGGAAACCAGAACAAGAACAACACATTTAAGTACATTTCATTTTTCGTTTTAAATATTTTAACAATCCCATAAATTTCACATTAGAATTATGTGCAAAAGTTTTGTTCGTGCCAAGAGAAACAAGCCATAACTACAATGCCAGGCCATTTGTTACAATAGAAACAACTTTGCATATTGGCCCTATGGCTGATTAGAAATTTACGTACACACACACACAGACTAAGAAAAAAGAAGACCAGGTCAGCAATTGGCCATAAGCGGAAAACTAAATAGTTTTCTACAATTCTAGTTCACAGCACAAGAACAAAAAAAAAGAGACAGGCAGGAAATAAAAACACAAAGATAAAACAAAAAAGAAAATAAGGTAACAAAAACAACAACAACAAATCGTATACTAAATAATCAACACAAAAACTAGAACAGAAAGATGCAAGGTAATGGAGGTCCATACATGAACGAGATCTGCGGAAAAAATTCAAAACTTCCCAAAATTTATTTTCCCTTAAATAAAGCTCTTAAAAATAATACAAATCACCATATATATATATATAAATGTATGTTAACAAGACATTGACTAGATGTATACAAAATATTGAAAAACACATAGAAAAGAATTGGGAAATTTAAGAAAACCACTTTATATTTCTGCCTTCAAGCATTGTGTAATTAACAAATAAATGCGATGAAAAGTGTTGTTAAATTTTCCAATGTTGTTGCTTAAAGAGTCTCAAGTGTTAAACAAATTGACATACAATTGACAGGCGGAAGTGTTTCGCAGAGTTGCGAGGGTGTGGGAAAAAGTGGGGAATTAAAAAAAAAAACAGAATGTGTTTGTGGGTGGTAATTGGGATGGGAAAAACTGAGTAAATTTATAATTAAAAAAAAAAACAAACATTAAATGAAAGCAAAAAAATAAAATATAAATTAATAAAAATAATTTAATTTTATAAAAAATTAATATAGAAAATTTGCAATTTACTTTTAATGACTGCCTAGGTCTGGGGTATCCCCCATTGGCCTACTCATATTATCCTACATTACAGAGAGTAATGTTTCTCAAAACGAAAGTCACAGCTTGGCAATTTTAAATTTCTTTTGACCACCACAAACAAACCGCCTCCTTCAAACCCATCCCATTGTCCCAAAACTCTTTTACCAAAGCAAACAAACTGCAATGTTTTACAGGTCTCATCTAGGGATATTGATCTTTTCTAAATGTCAACCGTACTAGGTAGTAGTGTTGTGTCAAAACACAAAACATTTCATTGTTTCACATCATTATGCCGAACATAAATCATCATCTACATACCTAACAACAACACCAACAACAGCATCAACATTTCATCGTGTATGCCAGCCTAACAATGTTTGAAAATCAACTCCCACAAATCTTAGCGCATTGTATGCATGACCAGAAGTAACATGGAAATACCTCTTTTTTCTTTGTCTGTTTGTTGTCCTTCTTTAGAATGTAGTTTTCATCGACATGTTCATCTTTCTCTCATTTTGTGACAACAACAGCAAAAAGTGTAGAAAAACCTGACACAACATTCATTTCAGAGTTAATATCTCTTGCTGCCGTCATTGTCGTCATCACCATCATCATCATCGTCGTCGGCATACAATGTTGCACATGCAAAAACGATTTCCTTTTGATGCTTAG